CCCCATCCAGATGCCTTTTAGATGTTGTCATTGTACCAGCCCCCACCACTTCCTCTGGCAGCTCATTCCATACACGCGCCACCCTCTGCGTGAAAAAGTTGCCCCTCAGGTCCCTTTCTCCTCTCTCACCTTAAACCTATGCCCCTCTAGTTTTGGACTCCCCTACCCCTGGGGGGAAAAGACCTTGCCCATTCACCCTATCCATGCCCCTCATGGTTTTTATAAACCTCTACAAGGTCACCCCCTCAGCCTCCGACGCTCCGGGGAAAATAACCCCCAGCCTCTCCCCGTAGCTCAAACTCTCCAAACCCGCCAACATTCTTGTAGATCTTTTCTGCGATTCCCAGGTTTAACCACATCCGTTCTATAGCAGGGAGACCAGAATTGCACGCAGTATTCTAAAAGTAGCCTAACCCAATATCCTGTAGAGCCGCAACATGACCCTCCCTACACTTAACGCACTGACCAATAAAGGCGACCATACCAAACACCTTCTTCACCGCCCTGTCTACCTGCGACTCCACCCTCAAGGAACTACGAACCTGCTCCCCCCAAGGTCTCTTTGTTCAGAAACGCTCCCCAGGACCTTACCGTGAAGTGTATAAGTCCTGCCCTGATGTGCCTTTCCCAAATGCAGCACCTCACATTTATCTAAATTGAACTCCATCTGCCCCTCCTCAGCCCATCTGAGAAAGGTCCCGTCGTACTCTCAGATAACTGTTATAGTGCGGAGGTTGACCCTCCTCTGAGAACTAAAACTGAATCACCGACAGAGGAGCACCTCACCCTATAATCTGTGAAAGGAGCGCAAAAAGTGGTGTAACCTGCCTTTCAGCAGCTTCTAGTGGTTAAACAAAATAAATCCCTGATCCTCACTTTAAGATCAACAAATAACAATTTATTTACCTAACCCTAACAATGAACAAATGAACTAAACTATTAACAAAATGAATAAATCCTTTCTAACTACTAATTATTCCCGAATAAAGCTAGATGGTGCTTTCTCTCAGACTTCGAGGAGGCGATGACAGCCAGCGTTTCTGTCCCGAGAGCTGAGGGCTGTTAGCTCTGGCGGATGGCAGTTAGCTCTCTGGGGTTTTGTCCAACTGCCCTCTTCTTTTATACCCTTGATGACATGTTAATATTTCTTACAAGAGGATTAGTCCTATGTTGTCAAAACCATCAGATTTAAATTTAATTGGCTTTTGGTATCTAAGTCCCTGGTTCAAATTGATTGGCTAAATTCAAAACGTGGTGTCTTAGTAAAACTGCTTCTTGGCCTGCTGACTGGACGGCCTTTCAATACAAATGTTTCAATTTGGGCGCTCTCTGTGTAATTGCAAACTTTCAAGCTGCTGCTCAGCTACATCCATTTGAAATCCCTAAGCACAGAAAAAGCACATCGTCTTTTAAAGGGACCACGCAATTCTTCCCCCCGCCCCACCCATTAGCATTTTACAAACGCCAAATTCTAACTTCCTGCCTCCCAATCCACAAGTATTCTCCCCAACTTTGCAACTTCTCCGCTGTGCACCCCACTACCAATTCTGCTGTCATGTGCAAGCCCCCCTTAACCATGCCTCCTCCGTTCACATTCTAATCATTTCTATAAATGACGAAAAGCAGTGGACCCGGCACAAATCTGTGTGGCACACCGCTTGTCACAGGCATCCTGTCTGAAAAGCAACGCTCCACCACCACCACACCCTCTGCCTCCTACCTTCGAGCCAGCTCTGTATCCAAATGGCTAGTTCTCCCTGTATTCCATGGGATCTAACCTTGCTAACCAGCCTACCATGAGGAACCTTGTTGAACGCCTTGCTGAAGTCCCTGTAGACAACGTCCACAGCTCTGCCCTCGCTAAACCTCTTTGTCACTTCTTCAAAAGGACCAATTGAGTCGGTGAGAGATGTTTTCCCACGCACAAAGTCGTGCTGACTGTCCCTAATCAGTCCTTGCCTTTCCAAATACACGTGAACCTTCTCTGGAGTTCAGACCGATCAGGAGAGGGGAGGAAGGATCTGGTCGAAAAATTCTAACAGGACTGGACGGGGGTTTGCGGGTGCAGAATACGGGGGAGGATGATTTAGATATGGGTTTTGTGTCACGTGCACTGAAACACTGAGTGAGACGTCGTCACGCTCGGCAGAACCTTAGGTACAAAGTCTTAGGAATCACAGAAATGTTAAGTGCAGGATGAGGCCATTCGGCCCATAGTGCCTGTACTGGCACTTCCACTGAGCATCTTTACTCTGTGCCAATCTCCTGCTTTTTCCGCAGACTATTGCACGTTGTTTATAAAAATAACCATCCAATGCCTCAATTAAAACTTGCTTCCAGGCAGGGCCATCCATATCCTAATTGCTCATTGTGTGTGAAGAAGTTTTTCCCTTAGTTCACCTGGATTCTTTTGCAGATCACGCTAAGTCTATGTTGTCCTGTTCCCTACGATGAGCAGGAACAGTTTCTCCCTTTTTAAAACCTCTTTACCAGATCTCGTCTCTCTCTCCAAGGAGAACAGTCCCAACTTTTTCAATCTATCTATTATCTTTTCCTTTATTCATTCACGAGATGAGGGCATCGCTGGCCAGGCAGCATTTGTCGCTCATCCCTAATTGCCCCAAAGGCCAGTTAAGAGTCAACCACTTTGCCTGTGGGTCTGGAGTCACATGTAGGCCCAGACCAGGTAAGGATGACAGTTTCCTTTCCCTAAAGGACATTAGTGAACCAGATGGGTTTTTCCCCGACAATCGACAACTTATTGATACTTACTGAATTCAAATTCCACCATCTGCCCTGGCGGGATTCGAACCCAGGTCCCTGGGTCTCTGGATTAACAGTCCAGTGATAATACCACTAGGCCATCGCCTCCCCCTTCATAACTAAAGTTCCTCATCTCTCGAACCATTCAATGTAAAGGGCTTCCGCACTCTGTCTAGTGTGTTCACATCCTTCCTGCAAGGTGGCATGCACAAATGTACATAATATTTTAGGTGAAGGCTAACACATGTCTTATATAAGTTCAACATCAGCTCCTTGCTGTTGTACTCTACGTTCCTGTTAATGTGGCAAAGGATAAGTTTTACTTACTGCTTTCCTTACCAGTCTTGACAGGTGAGAACGCAGTAGAAAAGAGATAAAGACGGTATTTAGAGGTTAAACGTTACCGGCTTGGAGACCGCTTTGTGGAACACCTACGCTCGGTTCGCGACAACACCTCCCAGTCGCGAACCATTTCAACTCCCCCTCCCACTCCTTGGACGACGTGTCCATCCTGGGCCTCCACCAGTGTCACGATGCCACGCGGAAAGTGGAGGAACGGCACCTCATTTTCCGCCTTGGGAGCCTCCAACCCAATGGTCTCAATGTGGACTTAATGAGCTTCAAAATCTCCCCACCCCGACCTCATCCCAAAACCAGCCCCGCCTCTCATCCCCGCTTCCTTGACCTGTCCGTCTTCCCTCCCACCTATCTGCTCCACTATCCACCTGCTATCACCACTCCCCCCACTTCTTTATTTATTTCAGAGCCCCCTTCCCCTTCCCCATTTCTGAAGAAGGGTCCCGACCCGAAACGTCAGCCTTCCTGCTCCTCTGATGCTGCCCGGCCTGCTGCGTTCATCCAGCTCTACACCTTGTTATCTCAGACTCCAGCATCGGCAGTTCCTACTATCTCAACGTTACCGTCCTTCTCAGTACGAAGCAGAAAAGGAGATCGAAGTTCAAATATTACAATCTTTCTTCAGCGCTTCGCCGAACTGGGCGGGCTCGATTTCCACCGCTCTGCCTCGCTTTCCCCGCGTTCCCTTGCTCTCGATGCTGCTGCAGTGGACCTCTTGTAGACTCAGTCACCTCGGTTCCTTCTGAACGCTAGAGCATGCACAGGCCTCCCCTGTCTAGTGTTTCCTCATGAGGCCATTCATTCTGAATGACGTGCCACTCCTTCCAGGGATGGGTCAGGCATAACCCATTCTCTGACCTGCTTCCTACATACTAACACCTCCCGATCTTCTTCTGGCTGAGGAGGGAGTGCAGCAAACACAGATCCCTGGGACTGATGGAGAAAAGGAAGCCGGATCATATCCACCAGAGTTGAAGAAGAACAAGGAAGGGGATCTGATAGAAACCTATAAAATTCTAACAGGACTACTGTGAGGTGATTCATTTTGGATGGGCAAACTTGAAAGCAAAATACAGGGCTAACGGAAGATTCTTGGCAGTGTGGAGGAGCAGAGGGATCTTGGGGTTCATGTCCACAGTTCCCTGAAAGCTGCCACC